AAACCAATACAGTGCAAACAAAACAGGTGCAAATATGTATTCACATTCAGCCAAATTGTATCCCAGGTGTTAGGGGAGTAGTTCTTTCAGATGTTTGTCCACTTGCCATATGTGTGTTCCTGCACCATCCTTGCCTATCACAACAGCAAATTGCACAGTAATGCAAATTGTTAGTGAAGAAACTGTACCGATAACTTGATTGAACAATTTAAAGCATTGACCTATTAACGGGGATAGCACTAACTGTGAAATCTGCATCAAATATGTGTCTTTTAACTACAAAGGCATTCTCCTGTTGGTCAGCGTTCAAGGTGTAAGCAATCAGAGACATGATCTGCATATTAAAGGAGCAGGAAAATTAAAAATATGGCACATTCCAGATATGGCCACTTTGATATAAATTGAACAGGTGCACATACCCTATTGCTTATCCACCTTCTAGGACCCAGTGCTTGCAGGTCTGCTTGTGTTGCCAAATGCCCAAACATATCTATCATGACCCTACAACAAATATGAAAGTGAAAATAAGTAGTCAGTATTGCATACTAGTATTATTCATAGGCTGTCTTTTCCATAATAATTGACTATACTTGCTCTTGAGCCTCATCTGGTTGACACCACTCAGTACACATAGCATAAAATGCATCCCTGTTACTCATTTTCACCTTTCTGCCATAAGTAGACATGTAAGGAGATTTCATTGTTGGGAGTTTACGTCTACTTGACCTCCTTGTGGGTAGCTGCACTGCTTTGCCCACCATTTTCCCTTCTTTGTTTCCTTCTTCACTTTCAGCTGCTTGTTCACCTTCAGTATCTTTTTTTGCAGCTTCATTTTCTCTCACATTGTCATTCTCTTCTTCATCTTCCTCTTCTTCTTCTTGTAGTTCATCATCATGCGATTTCTCACCACTTTGATGTTTTTCTCCGCTCTCTACAGTCATAACTTCATCATGTTGTGGTTGCTCATTTTCATCCTCATCAGTGTGGTGTTCTTTTCCTTCTTCTTCATTGCCTCCTCGGTTAAGAATTTTGTTTTCCAACTTAACCAATTCATCACAAACAAAGTTTTGAATCTTGGTCATTTTATTTTTCAATATGTTGTTGAAATTGACCCAAAACTCCTTAATGTCCTGCACATTGTAAATGTATGTCATCAAACAAATATTAAGTCTGACCAACAGACATTACCACATTGGTATTACTCACCAGATGATGGAAACTTTTACTACTCCCCGGTTGTGTTGACTCATTCACTTCAGCAGAGGGTGGACTGTAGAAAATGCCATGTCGACTCTCCTTTTCCGTGTCAATTCTGCTCTTCATAGCCTTATCATCCCAATGCCTGATGGCATTTTTGTCTTTTGGTTCACCTCCTTGCAAAGGGAACCTTTGCAGGAAGTACAGCTACAGAGAAAGAAAAAACATGACTCAAAAATCAAATTACATAATATATCAATAGTTTAATGGTCAAACCATATCCAACAGGGCATATTTTGTAAGGAAATATGTAAGTACCAATAAAAAGTAGATGCACCCTCTGACAACTCTGGCACCCTCAATCTGTCCTTCCTTATTGCTCTTATTGTGTCGTTTAATTTCTTCACTGAGTTTGTCAAGCACAAAGGAAGCCCAGTCAAAATTTTGCCAGTTATTTTCTATGCAGGCCATTACTTTTAGTACCTTCTCACTTACAATTGCACTTCCCGTGGGACAAAGAAGAATTCCCACTGTGAAAAGAACAAAATAAAATTCAAAGTTTCCATCTTCTTCATCACTCATTATCTTCTCCGCAAATTAAGAATATGTCAGTAGAGTATAGTCCTTCTTCAGCTCATTTATTTCATCCTTGAAGCCATCCAACAATTACACCGAAGGTAAGTGGAAATACAGCTAATTGCTTGTGTCAATTGCCTAATTTCCCTCTGAGGCCACTACAGATCAAATTCGAACAAACATGAAATTATGCAATAGAGGTGGTTAATTAACTAATTTTTGAGGTAAATTTCCTAACTTTCAGAGTCTAACACGCATCAAACAGTTACACATAAGCTTAGTGCAAATTCAGCTCACTGGTCGTGTCAATTGCCTAATTTTCTCTGTGAGGCAACTGCACACCAAATTCCCACAAACTTAGTGGGTAATTTACTAATTCTCCATGTAAATTGCCTGACTTGACAGATTCCATGAAATATGAAACTGTTAGATAGAAGCTAAGCAGATAATCTCCTAAATCCTCGTGTCAATTGACTAATTTCTCCTGTAAAGCCACTACAGATCAATGCCAACAAACATGAAATTTTAAACTGCAACTTGTTACTTTACTGATTGTTCATGTAAATTTCCTAACTTCTAGAGTCCAACACACATCAAGCAGTTACACAGAAGCTAAGTGGAAATTCAGCTAATTGCTCGTATCAATTGTCTAATTTTCCCTATGAGGCCACCGCAAACCAGATTCCCACAAACATAGTGGGTAATTTACTGATTCTCCATGTAAATTGCCTAACTTGACAGATTCCCAGAAACATGAAACTGTTAGACAGAAGCTAACTGGATAATCCCCTAATTCCTCGTGTCAATTGCCTAATTTTCCTTGTGAGGCCACTACAGATCAGATTCCAACAAACATAGCTGGTAATTTACTGATTCTTCATGTAAATTGCCTAAGTTGATAGATACATGCAAACATGAGGTTGTCACATGCAACTGGGTAGTCAACTAATTCTTCACGTCAATTGACTAACTCCCATTGTTAGCCTACAAAATCTCACATTCCAACAATCAACGGGATAAACCAAACAAAACAAACTCATTTACCTAATCCATACGACAACATTTGCCCCTCTCAAATCTTTTCTTAATTCCTACAAAATGCCTACAAACACTATAGCAATACAGTTAACTACCAACACTAATTTTTCCCTAAATAATTAATAACTTTCTTACTTAGCCCCACACAAACTCTTCATGCTACACTCACAAGCCTTCTCTCACTAAATCAGGAGCATTTGCTAAAGGGCAGTAGGGGTGACGGCCAAACACTATGTGACACATTGGTAATCATTCCTAGGTTAGAACCTAAATGTCATTACCAAACACACCCACCTTTCAATGGGTCATTCCTCCTTAACGTACTATGAAAAAAAAATCGAAGAAATCTACTGCATTTAATGTGGACCGCGAAGCTTACCAAAGGAAATCAGTGACTTCTTCTCGCCCTGCTTCTTCCTTCTTTGTCAATAGCCTTGCAAGTTTCCTTCTTTGTTGGCCTCTTCTTATTCTCCTTCCGCTTGTAGTGACTACCACGAACATGCAAAATGAAGCTGATGGAATTTTTGGGGGCCAGGTCGAACACTTTTCACAAATTGCAAGAGGCAAGAATCTTCCCACAGAGGTAGCACGTTTGTAGCCAGGAGAGGGTAGATTTTTCACAGAGTGGTAGCACGTTCTCAGATCGGGAGACGCTATAGTTCTCCTAGAGTAGTTGTACATTCGCAGAGCGGGAGAGGGAAGAGTTTTCGCACAGTGGGATCACGTTCACATAGAGAGAGAGCGGGAGGACTTTTGACCATTGTGTTTTTGCCTTATTTTCAAATTTCAGAGGAAGTAAAATAAGGGGCAATGGCATCATTTTTTGTGTGCAATTAATATCAGATTGGCCCCTTGGTCCTGCAATGAGGTTTCAGAAAGTTTTGGGGGCTCTTTGACATTAATTGTGTTCTACAGTCCTTAAGTGAAAATTTCCCTTTTTTCTTTGCATCGTGTCCTTCTATCTAGGGCCAGTAATATGAGCCAACCCGCCGATTATGGGTTGGCCCGTGGCGGGCCTGAAGCTTGGCGGGCTAGGCCTTTTAGGACCGCTTTCTGGCGGGCTGGAATTTTTCCAACCTAACCCGCCAACTTTTGTAATTCTTTTTACTTTTTTTTAATAAAATCTACTCAAAGTCTCAAATTCTTAAATACCTAAAATAAAAATACAAATAGAATTATCATAAATAAAACATGAAATCCATCCAAGGTTTCAAGTTTCAACTTTCAAATATATCAAAATATTAAACATATGATTACATGAACATGATATGTCCTTAATAATTTAACAAACATCTCAAATTAAAACATAAATCCAAATTAACACCACCACAAAGTCACAAACAGAATGTCACTACACAAATCACTATCAACTATCAAGTGCTCGACCATCAATATTGATAGTGTTGGAGTTAGAGGCATGATTTGAAGACATGAAATTATTTGGTTGAGCTTGAGAACCATCATCTTTTTGCTCAGTTGGCTCTACCACACATAAAATTCAAAAGACAAAGTGAAAAATACATTATATTATGATAATTATAAATAATGAAAATGAGATAAAGAAACAAAGAAATAAACATAATTCTATTACCTTCATCAGAATCATCACATGGAAAACCAAGCATCCAATTACGGGTACAAATAATGGCTTGCACATTTTGTGGAAGAAGACAACTTCTATACTTTGTGAGAACTCGTGAACCAATACTGAAAGCTGATTCACTAGCCACTGTGGTGATTGGAATGCTCAAAATATCACATGCCATCTTTGATAGACAGGGAAAGCAAGCTGCATTAGTCCTCCAATAATCCAAAACATCCATCTTCAAAAACAGATTTGGATCCATTGTTGCTTCTTCTAAATAAAAGTCAAGTTTAGACTTTTCCATTGATGCAATGTCCTTGCTGTTGCATTTGAGATAATCCTACAAAATAAAAAGTGTCAATAAAAAATCTAAAATAATATTATGACAAATAAAAATGAAAGAATATCAAACTTACCCCAAAAGCCATAGTGTTTAAACAGCCATGTCTCATAATACCACCTTTAGATGGATAAGAAGGAGGTCGATTTGATGTTCTTGGCAATATAATGTTCATGTCACTAGCATTAGAAGAACATGAATCATTATTTGGAGCAACAATAGGACTAGGAGTTGACGATGATGATCCAACCACATCCATGATTTTATATTCATTGAAAACTAAGTACATCTTCTTCCTAATATGTTCAATCTTCTCAGTATGATTCACAGGATCAAGTTGTGCATAAGAAAACCTTATTATATCAAACTTCATCCGTGGATCAAGAATGATTGCAATTGCAAGAATGACACTATAATCACTCCAATATTTGTCAAACTTTTCAAGCATACTTGCAGCGATATTTTGGATCACAACATCATCATGATCTAGAAATTCTTTCAGTAGTAACTTAATTTTTGATATCTGCACAAAATACAAGTTTGAAGTTGGATATGATGTGCCAGAAATCAACTCCGTTATCCTTGCAAATGGAGCCAAGAATTCACAAATCATCTCTGCCCTAGACTACTCATCAATTGTCAAAGAATGGTGATAATTTGTATCATTGAAAGCCAAAGTAGCAAAAGCACGATGATAGTAAAGTGCACTTTCAAGCATTGAATGAGTTGAATTCCATCTAGTAGGAACATCCAACCTTAAACCCATAGAACACTTAACACCAACCTGCTCAATGCACTTCTTGAAATTGATTGCCCTCACCTCTTATGCCTTTACATATCTAATGCTATTCCTAATCTTTTAGATAGCACTACTTGCTACTTTCAATCCCTCTTGAACTATGAGATTTAAAATATGGGCACAACATCTCACATGAAAAAACTCACCATTACATATCAGGCTATTACTCAAATTCATCCTCTCTTTCAAAATGTTTTTCATACTGTCATTTGCTGAAGCACTATCAACAATAATAGAAAACACTTTCTTCTCAATCCGCTAATCTACTAATAGTTCATACACCTTTTTAGCCAATTCAACTCCAGTGTGTGGTGGTTCCAAGTGTGTGAATGCAAGTATTTTGCTATTGAGATTCCATTTCTCATCAACAAAGTGAGCAATCAAGCAAAGATATCCCTCAGTAGTTATTGAAGTCCAACAATCAGTGGTTAAACATACTCTACTTTGACTTTTTACAATTGTCATTTTTAAAATTTCCTTTTGCTTAAGATACAGATTCCAAACATCAACCACAACAGTTTTTCTAGTAAAATACCTAGCCTCAGGATTCAAAAATTGATGTGTTTCCCTAACTACTTGTATTCATAATAGGAATATGGCAAATCATTCACAATGATAGACTTAGCAAGCAATTCCTGGAATTTGTTATTATCAAGATGTCTAGCTCTCATTTTCCTAACTTGGTCTAACATCATACTACCAATGTCATGGTATTTAGGGACTAAATGACATGAATCCACATGATGCCAAAGGATGGAAGTGCCATAATTCTTACCCCCAACAATAAAAGCCTTTCCACAGCCTTTACATGTAGCCTTTTCTTGCCCATCTACTTTGCCAATTTTAGTAAAATACCTCCACACTTCAGATGTACATTTTTTTTTAGCTTTCTTTCCAATTCCATTGTCATGCACAGAAGAGTTAGCTTCAGACCTTTTGTCTCCATCAACAACAACATTGGTCATCAGGCACAGGCACACTAGGACTAGCAGATGACATCTTATATACAAAACCAATAGTCCAATACATTATACAACCACCAGCAACAACAAGTTCAATACGTTATACAGCCAATATTCAATGTATTTCACATTTGAGATTTCACAACAATAAATAATATATCAATTTACCAAAAATCCAAAGTGAACCGTGACCGTGAAGAAGAGACAAAATTAGAACAAGTTCGTATTTCATATTTAGACTCCAACATAGGCAACACTCACGTCTGGAGTCTCAAGCTCAACCAGTCCAAACTCCAGAGTCTAGAGATAGAGAGGGAGACGAAGACAGAGAAGGAACTATGAAGAGACGAAGTACGGTATACCTGATGATTGACAGACTCACGACTTGCCAGCACTCAGGTCCTGCGTGTCGGTGTGTGTAGCGCATCGACGAGACTTGCGACTTGCCAGTGTTCAAGACTTCAAGTCGACTAGGGTAGGTAGATTCAAGTAGGGGCAACGTGGTGAGCCTGTGACGAGCTTTGAAATCTGAATGGGGGCGACGCAGTGACAAGCTCTGAAGTCTGAAATCTGAATGGGGGCAACCGACTCTGGAGTTTGGACCTCTGGTTATGGAATGTGGAAGACTGGAAAATGAACTAAGGGAAAGGTGCAAAGTAGAGACAGAGAACAAAGAGCTTAGGGCTTGGGACTTGGGACTGGTCAAGGGTGACTGGGAGAGTGGGACTGGGAGTGTTCAGTGTTGTGTGGGAGTCTAGGAGGAGTGTGACGCCGACACGCAAGCAAAATGTAAAAATGGGATCGTGTTGCGGGCTTGCGGTGCTGGTGTTGCCATGTTGGACTGAGACATGGACTACTCAAGGGCTCAGTGTGGATTGTGGACTGGGTTGAGATTGATAGTGTAGAGACCGAGCAGCAAAAGGAAAAATTTGCAAAAAGAAAAAGGTTAAACAGGCTGGCCAGCCAACCCTGCGGGTTAGCCTACTGCGGGTTTAGGCTTGGCAGTTATGGGCTCAAAACTTCCATTTTAAAATGGTCCTAATTTTTATCAACCTAACTATCACTTGTTGACGGGTCAGTGGGTTGAGCCCATGAGCTCAATCCATATCACCGACTCTACTTCTATCAAAGCCTGTCATGTTTGAGACACTATTGGATGGGAATTTAAGACTAGCCTGCACGTCAACTCATCTAGTAGTTTTATAATGTTAAATGTGTTAGGCCTCGTTTGGTTAGGTGAGGTGTTTTTGGGCCTTAGAGCATTTGGTTAGCAAGCAGGTGAGCTCAGGAGACCTGTTTCCAACAACTGAGCCCATTACTGGGAGGACGTATATGTTCATTAAATCACCTGAAGAAAGTAGTTGGGTTTGCAACCTAGTGGCACCAGTAGCTCCTATAGGAGTAACATCATGAGGTTGAGAATTAGGTACTGGGATGGGAGAGTAATGCCATGTGCTGGAAATGGAAAGGGAATGAGATAAGCAACGACATATGGAAGAAATGGTGGCCTATGTACCCCACCCATCTGCAGGGTTTGTAACCAAAGTCCCTTTGAAAAAGCCATAGAAGGTAGTGATGGATAGGTTGAGCTTGTATGGGAGCCAACAGGGTTAGAAGCAATAGTTGCAGTTGGCATATTTCGTCTAGGTATTAAAGATGAGAAACAATCTATGTTTGTTGATAGAGCAGCTAGGTTGGAGGACATTGAAGAAGCTGAAGCTAATCTAGAAGTACTAGGAGTTCCTGAGGCTTTAGGCATTATGTGATGTGTAGTGCAAATAGTTAGCATTTAACCATACAAACGTTGCAAATATACAGCCTATTTTGAGGGAAGAAAAGTTACCTATAGATGTGATAAGTTAGTTTGTAAAGTTGGAAGATGTTTGTAACAGTTTTTTGGCTAATTTGACTTACGGGTCAAAGTTGTCTTTTTAAGTATGATTGTGAAAGCACTTAAAACTTACTTATGATTTATGCAAAAACAGCTTTTTGAAATTAAAAGACATTTTTTCCCTTATATTTATGTTGTTCTTATGCTTTTCTCCACTTATAATTATTTTTTATTATTTAATAAAAGTCATACTTATTTTTATCATTCTACAAACTAAACTTACTTATTCAATCCTAATTCAAACAACTTTTTTACTTTACAAACTAACTTTTATAAAAGTTAATCCAAACACAAATCATATTACCCAATTTAACTTTTATCCAATCTTTTTTTTAAAAATCATATTGGAAATAAGTTATTTTTTTTTATTAGTAATCCAAACGGACTCATAGAAGTGTGAGCAGAAGCAGAATGTGGAATGCCGGATGTAGATGATGCTTTACTAACATCTTGTTCAACAAAATGAGGCTTATTCTCTAGTAGACAGATAGAACTATTAGCATAGAGTTAATTATTATTTATTTGATACCAGAGTTAATTATTATTTATTTGATACCAAAGTTCATTATTAAATATTCACGATCTTGTGCCCGAGTTGCATGAGCTGCTATATTACAAATGATATGCTTGGTCCCCATCATCACATTTCCTCTTCCTCCCTCTATCTCTGTTTCTCCCTCTTCCTCTTGTTCTTCCCCTTTCTTATCACCTTTTTTCTCTCCTCCCTTCTTTTATCCCCTTTTCTAAATTTTTCTCTATTTCTTTTCCTTCCCCTGCTAGTTCTGTAATAGAAAAGTTTCAAATAGAACTTGCCAGATAAAACGCAAAGAGATCCCAAACAGAAAAGAGTAAGGAAGCTTAGGGTCTAGAAGTCTAACACCAACTATATGGTGTCAATGTCACATAGGAGCAGTTGTCCTCAAATCCAGTTAAATATTTCACTAAATAAGGCTTCATCTCAAACAAACTTTTCTAATCTCAAGAACTCAGAAGTCATGCATGTTATTTGGATATTACACTAGGAAAGATATAACCTTACGCTGAACTAGTCAGTTCTCATGCTAATCAAAGCCTCTATCTTAACACTTAAAATGGAATCCCTAGCATTCATGAGGTTATGTATAGGTTTTAAATTCAAATCTCAGAATAAAAAAAATTTAGTTCCCACCCATTTTTGTGGAAACCCATGTTGCAGCACAAGTAGGCAAATGTAAAAGATAAGTTTGCCCCTCCAAACACACACTCTTACTCTACTTTTAGAGCCGGAAAAACAGGCTGAACCTATTTAAGCCCGTTTAAGTTGAGGGTTGGGCTTGTAATTTAGGGTCTTCCAAAAATACTTGGACTTAAAAGGGCTAGCCCTATGGGGCTGAAAAATAAAAAGGTCGACCCTGTAGGGCCACAAGCCGACCCGTTTAAACCTGCCAATAGTAATTTTTTTTCTTAATTTATATTTTTTTCTTGATCCTAACCTAAGTCCCTAACATTTTACACACTCTCCCTTTCTAGGTTTTACTTTCAGTCTTTTACTTACCTTAGCTCACATCTTAGTCTCTAATGATATTAAAATAAATAAAAATATCTTCTCCATATCCTAAATCAGATTTCAAATTTGTATTTATTTGAACCAACAGTTATATATTAAAATAAACAAAATACATTCCCCTTATTAAAACAAAAATTTTAATGATTGAACCAACAGATACGTATCAATTTGTATATATTTATAAAACACATTTTCTATAGTGACTATATCAAAATTTTTACTCTATATTTAGGGTTAAGGTGCAATTTTAACAATAAAGTTTTCCCGAAAGAGCACTGGGCACCATAAAGTTTATTTGGGTGCAAAAATATACATGAAGTTGTCAAAAGGGAGCATCTAGCACCATGCCGTTAATGTCCATCAGTTTGCCATTAGAGGGGCCCACAAAGTCAGTTTTAAGGTGCATTTTTAATAA